ACACCAAAATAGTCAGCAAAATTACTGCACAATTTAGGAAAAGCTGGGATAGAAGCTCATTAGTTATTCCTATAAATCTCATATGAGTGGCTGTGGCTTTGCACTTTCAGAACGTGCACTCGATAATCGAGTCAATAAACGGTATATCCACGTTATTTGCAATACGCGGAGGACTAGTGTAGGAACAAACGATTTCAGTGTTGTTATTCAATTTAGCAACTGCAGACGTCCTTGTTAGAAGAGTCTAGGAGGGTACCATAGGTGAGAACAACAAAGTCCTCAACAGAGTGAGTGTATATTATATATTATGAATTCGTATATGCAGATGAATTAATAATCAACAGAACTACTAGAAGAAAGGCATGGCACTACTGAATATAATGGCAGAGGTAATGATAAGGGTGGGAGACAATATCGGCCTAAATATTACAAAGGAAGTCATTGGGCTCCGTGGTGTTGACGAGCAAGAATTGAGAGAATCCTTCAACTTATCGGGTCGAAAACTACATATTTAAGCTGGTACTTCAAGTGCCTATAATATAACCTTGCAGGATAATCAGAATAATACATGCACCTGTAAATCAACAAATTTGTTTTGTGCAATATTATAATCTTAGGTCCAATATATTATTAAGGCATTTTCAAATCCAATCGATCGTGAAATTAATCAACTAAAAAGTATAATGTATAATGTTTAGTGTAAGACCAATCCAATAGACAATATTTTATCATGAATGGATCAGATTTTATACGTTTTAGAAACAATTTAAATAGAGCTAGAATGACTAATCGAAAATCATTTTCAAATAATCTGGTTTTAGTGGCATTTATTTTTATTTTTTAAATACAAATTAAAAAAAAAATTACAAATGAGTTAGATCCGGAGATCCTCCATAAAATTGTATAGCTTAATCCTTAATTGAGTTAATTGACTATAATATACTTAACTGCCATGTATAAACATGGATAAATCAAAATGAAGGATCTATATGAAAGGGTATTTACCCGTTTCGTCTTTGCATATTAGTGCAAACATATTAAAAAAAATTTGATTCCATTTTCCGAAAATTTACTTACTATTTAATCAAAATATTGTAAAATAATTAGAAAAGAAATACAATTTTTTTCCCTTTATTTAATTTTGACACCAGTTTAATAAAATCTTTCGAGATCAAATATATTATATTATATAACATTATAATTTACATTTTTTGATACCTACGACCTTTTATTAGTTATTATTTTGTTTATATACGCTTTGTTGAACAGAAATTATATTATGTATTAAGTACCTGATATAAGTGCCTTTTTAATTTGAGTTATTGTTTATTATTAGATTATTTATAATATTAAATATTTTCATATAGACAACTTAAAGTTATTTCAAGTTAAAACTCTATAATTTACCATTTTAATATACCTTAATAATTATGAAATTTTTTTTAGTACAATGTTCAACATATGTAAATTCTAAATCTGGTTTATATTACATACGTCGTATATATTATAAGTACATGAGAATGCAAAATATCATGTAGATATTATATTATCAGAATAATAATTTTATCAAAGCAGGTATGTTTTTGAAAACAGGAATCAAACTCTTTTTTAATTTCCAGAAAAGCCAGGATAATTGAGAAAATAGTACATGCTCTATGAAGACAAACCTAAAAAAATATATAAAACGTTTTCCAAATGATAACTAACTAGGCATACAAGTATACCTAACTAATCGTTCTATGTAACCAGCGTCGGGTAACCTATCTTACAGGCAGAGTAAGCAGGTGATTGGAACTGCAAATTTAAGGTACTTAAAAATATATATATTATATTATGTTATATTGTAAGTATTAGCTGTTAGGTTACTAACTCACTGAAATAGTCACATACAAATCAAATGTTTGTTATTAGAGAAACTAAGTTTCTTCCTAGAAACCTGGAAACAGCTTTTTTATATAAAATTATAGCTATATATTACGACGATAAGACGTTATACTTTATTTTTGTGGTTCTATTGCTTACAAAGAATGTTATAAATTGTATTGTAACATTATTGTATTCAATTTAAAATAATAAAGAATTACTTAATCAACAATATATTTTTTATATGCATTTCGTTAAAAAAAAAAAACTTTTGAAAATGAAAGGAAGGTAAAAATATCCTGCTTGTAGATGTAAAATATCTGCCTTTGTATATAACTATATATTATAACACCCGAACACAAAAATAAAAATTTAATTTAATTTAAACTAAGTACCTAGTATGTATTCGTAAATTAAAGATATTTACGGGATCAAAATATGAAATCTTTAACTTTTAAATAAATTATGAATGTGCCACAAGTGCTGATGGTATGGTTAAGAGGGATTAACTTCAATTGGACAACTACCTATAAGAAATGATACATTACCAGACCCCTGGTGTTTGAATGAGGCTCTCGTAAAATAGTTACGTATTTTTAAAGTTAACGAAATTAGACTGTAACCCGTCAAAATGTTAATGTCATCATATCTGTAAAACGTTCACGAGACATATTTCTGTTTTAAATTTGTTTAAAACTTAATCTTGACAACGTCGTATGTATTAATATATAATATGTCCGAATTTTCCTTTTAGAAGTTTACATGACGTGTACGTGTATGTTTTTAGACTGTCTACCTTTTTCAACTTAAAAGATAAAATATTTATTATATTCAACAACAATTGGTTTATAGAAAATATTCACAACCGAATTCGATAAGCCCTTTCTTACAAAGTATACGAATTCCTCCGTTATTTCTTATTCCCAAGTAAAATTTGCATTGTCAACTATAGGTACACGAATGAAACGAATGTTTTGTGAAAGTCTCATAAAAAAACCATCAATTTTCAGTACTCTTCAAAGCAAATACAATATTGATTGTTAAGAACATTTTGTTCAAAAAAACACAAATATTTCTATAGCGAATGAAAATTACTAATGAGTCTTAGAAAAAAATCAAGAATTACTTTTTTCTGTTTATCCTGAGTTAATGTAAATACTTTTTTTTCAGAAATATATTATTAATTATAATATGTTAATACGTTATGTACGTGATAGGTATAAGGGCACAAGGCATGTGGAAACAAGAGGAGGGAAACCATCTGTTGACGGAGTTCCTAAAGTTAGTTTACATAATTATTAATTACACAAGTTACATTTATGAATATAAGAAGACTCTTCTGCACCAACTTATTTCCAGGCAGCGAGGTGGACTACCAGTGGGGATATTCTATGCCATTATGCAAAGTCCATTTATTGGTTATAGTTTTGTATAATTTTGAGTAAAATTTCTAAATCTTTGTGAATGTATCTACAATTAATCTCGAATATTTTATTTAATGATATCATTATTCATTATCAAGTATTGTAAAATATATACAACAAAAACATCATATCCTATATTATAATACACAGAGAGTTATGAACAATTAGTTTAAATAACATACAATTAAACAATTCAGAATTATAAATAATAGTAGAAAATATCGAGTGAAGAACAAAGGGAAAAACATAACATACCAGAGAACCTATATGAAATAATCAAACCCTACTGCCACCAAAAAAACGTAGTATCATTAATTTTGAGCATCGAAATGAAGAAATATGTTTGGCAATTAGCAGAAAGATAAACAAATAGTTATAAGTTCCCCTCTGTATTATTGTTATCGAATATAAGTTATCAAAAATAAGTGAAATGTAATGTATACAGCTAATGGCCCCTGCTGTTGAAGATAAAGATTCATTAAAAAAAAAAAATTAAATTAATGAATATTTATTATCCACCTAAATGTATTAACGTTTGCTATAAACGTAGCATTTGTTGTTTAAATAATAACATGTTATTTGAGTGTATTATAAAAATATAATACTTTATTCTTTGGTTTTTATATACCTACACATTTTGTCATTTTCTCTATACACACTTGAATCATAACAAACACTTCAATAGTCTATAAATACCTGTAATATATATACGGCTATAGTACATCTATATTGACCACTTATATATTGTAAACATAGTATTGACTTTAAAATAAATATACTTCTATACTTTTGTGAACATGTCAGTAATTATTGTATCAACCATACCTAGTTAAAAAAAAAAGAAATAAACGGACTTTGAAATGTATCAACTTCAAACAAAGTAATTATAAACATACATATAGGCTCTAAGTAGACTGATCGAGCACCCATTGTTTGAAAAGTTGGGTAATCCATAAGAATTCAAATTTGGATCAAACATTTTTAATAACTAACTATTTTCTTTAAAAAAAATATATTATTTTAATTATTTTAAAAGAGTATTTTATTTAATAAATCGATTTATGAAACAACAGACAATCCATCATGCGTATAGAGCAAGTATCATTATTTTTTTGTGTATGGTCGATGATAATTTAGATGTAAGTATCTGAACAGTTTTTAGGATTTTTTGGTACAATATATTAACCTGTTAACCCCTTATATTGTTATTCCAACTCAATTATTTAAATGATCAATAGCAAACTGTCGTTTTAATTGCTATGGTAGTAATGCAAATATAAGAGACCATATTTCACTATTATTAATAATGGATGGTTAAAACCTTTACATACTATTTTTATTGATAGAGAGAAGGGGGGGGGGTCACACAGAGCACCCAATGATTTTTCTGAATTTCAGGAACCCATGATTATTAATATTTTATCTCTACCTACAAAAGTTCTCTCAAATACAATTGTATTGTTTAAATACGACAATGTACTAATTTTTCTTACGGAAGAGTTATATTATAGTTACTACTAATATAAATCCATGAGTAAATATATAAATTATCAAAAACATAGTTGAATATAATGTTTTTATTTATGTAAAAGTGTATAACAATGTACATATATTATATACATTCAGGCGGTGACTACAGTGCAAGCATACGTTGGAAATTATACTATAACCATGATTGCCATAAGAGTCACAGTCAAAATTTCAAAGACAATAATCAAATTACAACTAAGCATTTATTAGATAACCTACGTTACGAATTGTATTTTGTACAAGAAGGTCGTGATATGTGACACATTGAGTATAAGTAAAATGCAAATTACTTTTTGGCTTACAATTCTAAACATTTACAGCTGTCGAAAACATTTTTCACGTATTCGATTATTCTTTGTGCCTCTGACTCCGAGACCAGATACCTCCAACACCTTTCCCGTCATCGGATACTCATTGAATTTTTCTGGTGTCACTCCACGACTTATTGTCGTTACGTATAGTTTGTCCAACTGTGGTCCGCCAAAAGTGACAGATGAAACCTTTTCGGCGGGAATCTTTAACTTGCCCAACAATTTTCCACTGGTTCCACTCACGTGCAGCACCTAACCAATTTATTTAGAACTGTGTAGTAAAAACACATTTTAAACACCAAACAAATCGAACATTTACCTGAGCGCCATTGTAATTAGCGATCCAGAGATCACCGTTGGCGTCGATCGTCATGCCGTCCGGGACACCCGGAATGTTGTCCGTCTTGAAATCGTAGAATGTTTTGCGGTTGGCTGTTGGGAAATTAAAATCGTTTTGTCAGCCATTGTTTTATATAGAAGTATGAATGCAAACTAAACCATTACAAATAGATGCCGTAACAGGATTGTAGTTGAAAACCGCTATTTGCTTGGTCGGTGAATCTATATAATACATCTTTGTACTTCCGTCGTTCCACGCAAGCCCGTTGGAAACGGAAACACCCGGTAAGACGGGTTCAAGACTTTTAAAACAACTTGTGTCGTTTAGCTTGTACAAAGTTCCACGTCCCGGTGGGATATTGCCAGCGGCGTCCTCGAATCCCATGGTGCCTGACACAGTTTTTGTTTCACATTATTTCTCATTTAGAAAATGACAACGTAGGTACATAATAATTCCGTGGGGTTAGGATTGTTTTTAGGCATTAGGAATTTAGGTTATTTGGAAATAAAAATGCCAAATGGAATATTTAATTTAAAACATTAAACTAATCTTTGTTTGGTACATTTGAAATGTATCTTTGTTTATATAGGTACAATAATATACTGCAGATTATAAATATTGTATTTACTTACCAGCCCACAAGTACCCGTTGGGGTCTGCTTTTGCGTCATTCCATCGGTTGCCCGGTTTATTATTGTCGACGGTGGTCAGTTTAACGACTTTATTAGTGTTCTCGTTGAGATTCCACCGGAGACTAGCCAACGTTGTACCCAGCCCGATGACAAACAGACCTTGTTGTCCGCGGACAGGGATCACAAAACCCACATCAGCGTCTAATAGGATTGAAATATATAATAAATCAAGTATACGATACAATAAAATGAACAAACTTTATATTATAGACACTTACCTAATTGCACATGTTCCAATCGGTTTTCAAAAAATCTGTAAACTCGTTGCTGAGAAATATCGACGAAATACAAGACGTTGTTCTCAGAATCCCAAAATGGCCCTTCTCCGTGAACCATCACGTCGTCGGCCACTTCCCTGATCGACGCTCCATTATAATTAACAGCGCCACACGTCAAGGCCATCAAACTGAAATAATTAAAAAAATATAAACTGGCCGGTTAGTACAGACGACGAGCGAAGGTTCCCTACCTTAGGAGCACAACATTACACTTGAGAAGCGACATCGTGACTGAGCCACAAGCACAAGTGTACAACTAAAATATTATAATTTTATAGACTACTATAATATGGTGGCATACTTCAGTCAGCATTGGAATAATAAATATTAATTACCTTGTGGTTTGCTAATGGTTTAACGGTCTGTTGGAGAGTATTTAAATAAAATGGTGACGCTAATGCGCGCATCTTATGTGTTTCCACAAGGAACGAATTCCAACAAATTGTATTCATATATATAATAACGTTGCGGGTTTAAATTGAACATTTTTATCGACACGTATACCGTAGTTACCTTGTCAACTATAATCTATAATATTATGTTGAATAAAGTGTGAAAGAAATATAATTGTAATAGGAATAGGAAACGTAGTTTATAAATCTTAAACAGTTTAATTAGTTATAAATTTATGGCCATGAAGATTTCTAAAAGCGTTACTGTAGACTGAACAAATTTTTATACCGTTAATTTCAATTCCTTACCTAGACATAATAACACAGATAATATTATTAAATGGTTATAAATAATGCTTCCTAAATTAGACTATTTATAAATAATCGATATTACGCATCGAAAAATAAAATACCAGTTGTACCTACTTTATGTGAGAAATTGGACTTTTTTTGTACATAATTATTAGCTATAGATTATAATTTTGTGAAACTTAAAGTAAATCATGCAAAATTGCATGCTTTTTGTATTTTGAATTCTGTATCTGCCTGTTTATTTAAACATTTTAGATCAATAGCAAAAATTATCATAACTTTCTAATAGTTCAAAATGAGTCTTCATCTATAAATTTTATTCATATAACGTAAAAATAAATGCAGGTAGTTCCATAATTTAATTTTGATCTCTTGGGCTCATTTACTATTTTATACGTCTTTATTGTTATTGTTTTTCCTTTTTAGAACTTTAATCAATTTCAGTGAACTAATTGATCAAAATAATATATTTACAATATAATGAATTGTCTGATTGGTCAGCAAAGATAAATAATTTTAGTAAACTGCTACTATTAATCAATTCATTTTCATAAATTATCCGAATTAGTTTATTCAATTTACACCTTAACTAACTATTAAAAAAAAAAATTACAGTAACATACCCATAATTTTAATAGTAAAAATATTTTTACAGACCGATGTAACTATTCATTTTTTTAAAAGATTATTAAAACTTTATTGCCGTACTTTATTGCTTTTTCTGTAGTTTTTGTAATGCTTCAAAATTCGTACTCTAATTACAACAATCTGCCAGTAACCATTGATCAGCAAAATATACATTTTATTGGAATCATTCGACAAACTACTCACAATAATAATTAGTTAAACATTTTACAGTCTACCAATAATATTTTTTTTTGAAAAATAAATAATATAAATTGTATTATCGTTTACTAGTTTTGCCAAAAGTATTATAATTTTTAGTATTTGAGTGTTTTATATTTTCTGAAATATTTCAACCAAATAACTATTTACAAGAAATATTGTAAAGTATTGAATTATTTACATCGTACATAATGCCATTGTTTGTATGCCCTATACAGAAGTTTCCCCAATGTAAATAGAAAAACTAAAAGCGTTCCAACCATTGAAAATATAGTATTACCTAACAATATACAAGTACCAATGTGAAATAAACAAACTTTACAGAAGACATTCCATTTAATCTTCTTACTGTGGCGGAAAATAGTAACCTAACCTGTAATCCGTTTCACCACATACAATGCAAAAAGAAAAAATAAGTACCTACTTTGAAATCATTTGATAAAAATTGAGCCAAGGACGATCGTATCCATAAAAAAAAAAATACATATAAAAAAATATAAAAGATATTTGTATTGTAAACAACCACACATTATTGAGTATAGCTACTGAAGTATTTGGAATTACAGTGCAACTCAATCCGTTATAGGTACCTAACTTTTTTTATTTGTATTAACAAAAAAGTAGCATCACTGTGAGTACAACAGCGACAAAAATAAATATTACCTACATTACTAAGACAACGGCATCTCTTCTAACACTAAGACTGTAGTAGAATAAAAAGATGGCGGAAAGGGGGGTATAGCGGCAGGTGTATTTGTTCGAGATCTTATAATGGGAAAGCTACTGTAAAATTCGTATTGTAATGTGACAACACCGCATATGTGATAGGTTGATGACCTTTACGAATATCGTCGCCGAGAGTGGCTGCGCTTGTCCTTCCAAAAAAAAGGAGGTCCAGTGTCCCCTACTGCTCTTAGGCTGCGTATCTCAATAGAACACTACGTGTTTCTGTAATACGATACGAGGGACAGTGGCTATGACTGTGAATACATGTGTTAACCTTACCGTACGTTATTTTGACACGATTATTGTTTCGATAATATATTTAAAGCGGATATATGATTATTCTACTACTTATATTTTGTTTAGAATAGAATATGTGTATTCACTTACCTATTTCGCAGCGTGTTCTGTAATGTTTGTAGCGCGTGTAAACTATTTATCGTTCTCTGAGGGTGGTTTTCGACACTCGATATCACTGTGACAATATATGTATTTTGATTTATCTTTAAAGTTAACTACTTAACGCTCCTTCTTGGAGTCTCAAGAAACCGTTTGGACTTTACTTTCATAACCTTTATCGGCTATGACTGTGACTATTATCGTGTACTCTTAAAAATCCCTACATTCGTAGTTGTCGTAGAAAGACTCGACTACCAACCGAATGTAATTTAAGTTGCTGAGTTGTCTTAAATTATACTTATATTCTAAACAAGTGATAATTAAATAATATATTTAAGTTTAATACTGATGATAGTCTAATGATATACGTGCCAAAGTTATAATATTGTTATTTTATGCTACGATTATAGTCACAGGATTATATAGTATTAATGAGTATGATAGGGAGATGAGGTAGATTTAAAGAATAAAAAAACGATTTGAATTAGTAATATGAAACAATTAATCAAATTGGTATACCGAATGCCGAGATATCTCAATATACATATATGCCAACACAGCTATACGCACAATGATAGAGACACCTTTGAACAGCAAAAAAAGTGTATTGTGACGTAGACAGGCGTGGACGTTGTGCATCGGCTCCTCTTGTGAAAAATGCTGTTGTCGGGCCGATCACGTGTCATCGTATAATTTGATCTGGTGTAATCCCTTCCTAATTGGTGTGTATCGATTGAACGAAACGTTAAGATACGTCTATCCAGAGGTGTTTATGTGTTCCATGTGCCCTGTGGGCTGTGAGTGAAGGGAGTGTATGTATCTCGTGCGTATGTATAATGTTTACTGTGGTGTCCCGTACGTGGTAGGGACCAGTATGACCAATTATATTCATTTTTATTGAATAAGAATAATTGAATATTTGATATTACAAGACCATCCAGAAAACTACATAACTGTGAACTGGTAACACTGGTTATGATATACGTTATAATAGATACTAAAATACCATGTCAAAAGGTTGTATACAAATTTATCAGTGATGAGAAAAAATGTACAGTGAGCTTCATAAATATTTTAACGATTTTATACGTATGAGCATAACAAGTTACCATGATATAAATGTACTCACGTAGAGTAAAAAAAATTAAAATATTAAGCTCTGCAATTGAATTATTTTCATTAACACAAAATACTCAAATCTAAATTTGTAGTATTTCATATCAATATTAATTTTAATAAATAATAATGAAAGTATATAAATAATCATAAACAGCAAATTAATGAATCTACGTAGCGTCTAGTAAAAAAAATAAACTATTGTAATAACGCAAAAATAGAATAAACAAAAATTATAAAAGAATAAAATAAAAGAGAATTATCGTAAATATTAACTGCCGATACTAATGCAGTGGAACCTCGATAACTCGAACCTCTATAAGTCGAATTTTCGATATCTCGAAGGAATGCCTTGGCCCCTGGCTTCCGACATATGATATATGTGATAAATTTTCTCTATAATTCGAATTTCGCTAACTCGAATTTCCCGATAAGTCGAAGTAATTTTAGTTGAATTTTAGCTTATAACTCGAAATTATATGATAAAATATAACACGTACAATGAACATACCTCGATAACTCGAAGGTCAAATAACCAAGTACATATGTATGTATGTATTATTATAATTTATAAATAATGATAATCGTAATCGAAAACTGATTAATATTATCGATCTTATCATTACCTATACTACTTAAGAGATACAGTTATAAATTCAACGATATATGTAATATATCTATAATCTATATCTCCGATAAGTTACGTTTATCTACCTTATTAGTATTTATTACTGGTAAAATTATACGTCAATTGAAATACGAAAAGTATACGCCAACCTCCAAAATATACAACAGAGGATTATTTATAGAGACAGATGATGGTGACAGCTGCGTCCCTTGGCTATTTTTTAATAATTTTTGTTTTGCATCTACATGCACAGAAATAAAAATACATCATTATAGTTACTACGCTGAAACTGGCACGTTTTCCTTCTTATAATTTTTTACAGCAAATAACGTTTATGGCTACAGTTTACATTAAGTGATTTTTTTACCTTTTTACTTTATATCTGAATGGCTTCTTATCAAAATCATATCACGTGGTAAAAGATAATTGTTATTTGTTATAATATAAGCATATTTGATTGTATATTAAGTATGAACTATATTTCTATTAGCTTACAATGCTTACATGATTGGTTGTTGTTATTAATAAGTGTTAAATAATGAAATCCAGCGGCTTACTTGCTCCTTAAGTTTATGTAAGTGCTATTTGAAAATCAATGATTGCAACTCAGTTCTTGATAGTTTTCAAGATCGTAAACACAATAAAGCAGATGAAAAAACTTTGATCCGACAAAAAATTACCAATGGTCTTAAACGCAAAGCTGTCGCAGATATTTCAAGTACGCCATTTAAACTTTTACGCTCCGAATTTAGGGAGACAACGTAAATACATTCACTACGTCAGATACGGCTCTTATAAAAAGAAATATAGGTACGAAATATACGATGAACTTGCCACCCTAATTTACTAAAAACTGTTATTGAAACAGATGAAGTTATTAATAAAATAATAATTAAAACGTATACAGACGAAATTTTCTAATTTTTAATGATCACAACAGGAATATAATCGGATTTTCAACAAAGTCAGACTTAACGCTTCTATGTTAAACAAATACGATGTATATTGATTATTGAGGTACTTCTAAAAGTTGTGCCAAACATTTTTTAGTCCGAACCATATTTACGATTATTTTATTAAAGATTATACGCCCAAGCTTCCTGCAAACGAAAATATAAAATTATTCACAGATTATATTTAAAAAACATACATCGCATTAGATTCTATATTCTCGTATAATATTTGCATGGAATTTTCGATGATATCTAATTGTACAACAAATAATTGTGAATCATTTCACTCGAAGCTGAATAGTTTATTTTATTCTTCCCATTTAAATATGAATATTTTTAGTGATACACTCATAAAAAACCAATCTATAATACTGTCCGAACCCGGAACGGTATTGCCGCCAACGAGCTATGCTAGTTTGCAAATATCGATTTTTTTTTGTTTTGATATGCCACAAACCTACTTTAAAGTTTGTGTGAAGATTTTTGACTAAGTGTATATTTGTTGTTTTATTTTATAACAAATTTACAAAAATGTGCTTTAAATATTGTACACCTATTAAAGTAATATACCATATTTTATTATAGATTTCAGTGTTCCAAAATTCAAATTCGTACACACAATAAAAATTAAATTCATTGCATACGAGAAATTCGTGGTAGCTCAATATCTGTAATGCGTGTATGGTATGTTCAATATACACTGAACAAACATACAGTGTATTTGTTTTTTATACTTTATTTTTGTTTTAGTCATTGCCAACTGTTAAAATCCTTTATATTTCGTGAGTATTGGCATATATATTAAATGTAGGTTGCAATAATAGTAAAATACATTATACTCACGTTTCTTAAAATTTAGTTCAAACTACAAAAGAAAATATACTAAAAATAATTTGTTGTACACAACATGTGCCATAATCAGCCATTAAACGATAACTCCATATTTGTCAAAATTGAGTTTTTCGAGTCTAACGATAGATATTTTAAACCACTATCGATTCCCATGATAAAAATTACGAGTTTTCCTCATTAGACATTCATATAAATTGATATGAAAATAACAAAAAAAGGCATTATGTTCAAATTGTACTAAAAATAGAACCAGTAAGAATTGGGAGTCACTTACGTTTTTGTTAGTCATTATTATATTTACAAAGAGGTATGTCCGAAAATTTTTTTGTTGACATTAGTTTAAAAAAACAATAATAAATAATTGAATATTTTATACGTCTATAAAAAATTCAACACGTCAAGATATTTCGAAAATGTTATAGCGTATAGAAAATGCTTACACAAATATTCAGTGGAAATAGAAGTTTTTTTAAAATATTTTATTTGTTTTACCTATTGCTCTTGAAAACTATTATGAATTTCTAATTATGACCTTCCGAATGCAGCACCTAGATTCACTTAATAACCAGAAAAAAATGCTGTTAAATAAAATTGAAGAACTTGTACCGCAAGTAACCGTGATAACAGGCACAAAAAAATAAATAAATAAATATAAAAACACACATCAGTGTAAAATCAATACAATCATTGGCTTCGATCAGAATCTAAAATTACAAATATTTTTTCCCCGATTATTATGAAAGAAACGGGTTAATGTTTACATTTAATCTATGGAAGCATCAACCAGATCCAGATCTGTACTTGAAATCAATTCTAAAATTTTTTCTATTACAAAATGTGGCTTCAGTTTTTTAATTTAACATGCATTTACTATCACGGGTCAGGTGAATACTTTCTGTGAATAGATATCTAATTATCAGGGCTCGAGACTCAAAGCATTTGTTTCATTTTATAGATTGACTTATAATGTAACAGAGTGCTATGGAAGTGTATGTCATGTTACAACGCGTTCAATTATGAAATTTGAAAGTGTCTTTTTTTCCTTTTTTCAACAATTTTTCAAAAAGATGCTTATTCCTAGTTTTTCAGATTATTTTTGCTTCTTCGACGAGTTTAATGTTGGTTTGTTGTATCTTAAAACAAATAGAAAGACAATAAAAAATTATGCTTTACAGTCTGTAATATAATATTTTCTAATTTGAATTCAACTTGTATCATTCTAAATGATTCTGACTGGTCGGTCAGTCTGTATTAAGAATATTTAAATTTGAAAAATGCTGAATAAAAACACTTACATTTCACGATATGATTTATGATATAACTATTTAAGTAACTAATTTTACCATCACCATAAAACGTTTATTTAATCTGATTACTCACCATTATCAAAATTACAATAATTTGTGTGATTGTGAATAGTTTCAAATTTTAATAATACTAAAAATGTTGATTATTTTTTTATCATTGTATTAATAAATTGAAAACAACTGTGTTCAAGTACTTTTATTGCTGTTCCTGCTGTATTTTGTATTTAAGTTTTTTTGATTACTATTTGAATACTCTGTATTCACTGTGTTATTTACCACTGTGTCGTTACCTAATGATCACTGTTATAATACTCAATGTTACAGTGAATTTATCTACTATAAAATGTAAAGTCAAAAATATTGTCGAGGACACTCCGAGATGAACTCATATTATTGACATTGATTCACTCACTTTTATATTCAAAAAAACAATGTAGATCGAATTCTTCTTGCAGCACAACTATCGAAGCTTTAAGTCAGTATATGTATAAGAAGTATCACTACAAATCAGAGGAAATATATGCGAGTAACATATCATATGCTCTCTTAACCTTACATTTAATTAATTTGCAAGGTGGTTCATAATTTAAGTTGATCGTTGGTAACATTTACGCAGCAACAGCATAAATGTTTTAACTTATACTATAACTTATAAGCCATAAAATTATAAATCACTCATAAAATCTAACCATATCGCTCTGCTTTACATTAGGTGTCTATTAGGTCGCTGTGATGGATGGTATTAATAATTTGAAGACGTTGCGACGGTATGTCAATCAAAGATATTTTAAATTATTATTACTTACTATTAATATGGTACCCGGTAAGTTGAATTAATATCATTCTTTAATATTATCAGTGATACTAAAAAAATATTAAATATACGTATGTACAATTTCGATGTTTTGGAATCGAATTACAAGGAAATGATAAACGTTATTCTTAATGTTAATATGCAATTTTGTTCAAATTTGAATTTAAAAGGTCT